TTCTGAATGTCTTTGTTGTGTTTCTCTACCTGTCATTTTAAATCAGAGACCTGGAGAAAGACAGTCCACTCCTGACCCAGTTTCTCCTCTGGGTCCACATCAGTCACTAATGGACAGCTATAACAATCACAGGTGGAGACACAGAGCTGTCACTCTGTGTCTTCCTGTGTGTGTACTCACACGCATACAGTATAGTACACCAACCTAACCTAAATACTGGCTACGTCAATGCTCTTAAGGAAACCAGCAGCTGTCCTCTTTGGGTCTAATTAGGCCCCAGTGCTGCACACGTTGAAGGCGGAAGATCATTTAAGTGTCTGTTGGTGATAGAGGAGAAGGGGAGGAGGAGGGGGGGGGGGGACATGGCCACGTTTGTTGTCACTCACAGCATGTGCACTATTCTGCTAATGATCTAATCAAACACTCACCAGGAGCCTGTAACACCTAGCATGATGGCACACACAGTCTCTCTTCAACATCCTCTACCCTGGCATGTTCCTTCTGCTTAGCTTTTCTGCCAGAAATGAGGTTTTAGTTCATGTTGCTGCTTGTCAACATTCATCGAATCAGGTTGGAGTTGTCCTTTTTTGGTCGTGAATGTATGAGAAGTTCCTGCTGTGTGGAGGTCTGGTGGTTTATGTTTGATTTATGTCTAAGTTCACTGAGAAAAGAGCAGCAAGGGGTCAGAAGAGTTTATCTATCTATCTATCTATCTATCTAAATGATGGACATATGAATTTGGAAAAATATTGAGCAAATATTCAAAAGTAAAACCAAACACGTGGTAGGTGGCGAGACAGTGTTTGAAGCTCCTGCAGTTTTTGTAAATTACCAGGTGTGTATTGACTGTGTGTCAGAGCAACGATGAGTGGAAGGACGGAGGAGTCATTGGATATAGATTGTGCTTCGTTCTGCCCGGCTGAAGCTCCAAATCTCTGCTGTGTCCTCGAGCCGTCTTGTTACGGTTCACCAGCAGAGCCATAACAAGCAAACGCGTCTTTTCTTCTCACGGCACAGTCCACCAAACAGTCCTTGACCAACTTCACATCAGAGAATGACTCACTGTTACTGGTGTGTGGGATATTATAAGGCTGGTCCAACTCATTCACTGACAGACCAGACTGGGGAAATAATGAACATTTGAAAACCATGTCTGGTCCTGGAGACAAGAGTGGCTCCAACATAGTGTTAGCAAAATGAGGCCTAATGAAATGGCAGGTGAATGCATATAATTTTTTCAAGAGTTTTTGATTGTGCCTGGGCAAAACAAAGACAGGCACACAAAGTTTTTATTTTTGACTCACCAAAAGCCTTAATAGTTTCTGTGCAATTACTAAAGTAATCAATGTGTTATTCTTCAGGGTTGAAAAGAAAGGTCTGCATTTAGTTAATTGTGATAATCACAATGGAGAAGTACACATGACCATGGGTAGAAAAAAAATAATTCCTCTACATATCTTTTAGTTTTCGGAGAATTTTCTTCTTTGTAATAATGTAGAAATGTGTACAGGAATACTATTTCAGATGCCGTAGTGTCACATCATATTTTACTAATTAGAAGCTGACGTCTGGTTTTAGATATTTTGACTAATTTAAAGCAACATTAAAGCTACAGTTTTTTACATGTAAAACTTTATATTTGATTTTTATCTACTGTCCGTATGCCAATTTACCATTTTTTAGTAAAAAGAAAGAGATATCAAACCTTTTGAAAAACCCATGGCATTTGCAGCTTTGCAGCAAAGTGGTCAGGTCACGATGGTCTAACAGAAAATCAATGGTAGGGTTTCTGTCTCCCTGTGGGTTTTTATGACTAAAGGCTTAGTGAGCCCTGCTGTAATTCCTCTGCACTGCCGCCCCCCACACATATTTTCTTGGCCACGAAAGCGAAGCGAGACAGCACAAGGGCAATATGTTCGACAGCAGTGTGCGTTGGCGTCCGTGAAAGTACAGTACCATGTGGAGTCTTCCTTACATAGAGTATGATGTCACGGTGTCTCCCCACTGTGCACACGGAAAGGCACGTATGTGCATGCACACACACCTCGCAGATTTGTTCAACAGGCAGGAGTCCTCTGCTGTCGTCATGGAAACTCAGCCACCCACTCCCCCCAACCCTCCGTCCTTGCCTGTGATATCCTCTTCTTATTCTTTATGACTGTGCAATCTGTTAATTTGGAACTGAGACGTCATGATGCAATTTTAGCAGCGGCGTCTGGGGGTGGATTACTTTAAGATAAGTGGGAATGAGAGGGGGAAGGAGAGAGGGGGAGAGAGGAGACATGGAAGTCTAGAGATGTAGTTAAGGAGAGAACACGCTCAGCTTTTTCATGTCTCCTCTCTTCAACTGATTGATAAAGGGTTGAAACGCTGTGTTTCCTCATCACAGACCTTGATCTGCATCAGCTATGCCTGCTGGGTTTCAAATCAATACTGCACTTTTGCTGTATTCACACACACACACTCACACGCACACAGAGTGAACCCACAGGGAACGCTGTGTGCAAACCGAGGACAGGGAGGTAAAATCCAATGTGAATGTGTGATTGTCCAACATGCTTGGTTTCCACTCTATTCTCCCTTATTACGCAGGCTGCTATTTCAGTCAGTGAGTGCACAAGAGTGCATTATGTATGCCCACATTTTTTAATGAAGCTGCGGGGTTCAGCTCAGTCTGAATCTTCACTCCTGAACTCTCGTTGGAGTAGTTCCTCCCCGCACTGTGGTGTTTCCAGCCTCCAGGAAGGCAAACGTTGATCTGGGGTTTTCAACTGTTTGGCCCTCAACTAATAGTTGATGCATTTGACGATGACACTACAACCTCAGTAAATACAAGGAGTTATATATAAAAGTGTGGATGTGAGAAACTTCTGGACAATATTATTGTGATTATGTATTTATCATTAAATGAATAAAATGAACACATTTGAGTCTTGTACCTGCTGTAATGAAGGTTTGTACATTCTTGGGCAGTGCAGGGTAACCAGAAAACCCAGACTTACTCAATTGATTCAATGTATTTCACAAATAAACCAATGCAGTTGTTTATAGTTATAATAGTTTGGCTACAAGTGACAAGGACTAATGTAAATATGTCTAATATTGTCTAAGAAGTCTAACATTGTGCATGAAATAACGCAGCAACACTTTAACTGAAGCCTGAACTGAAGCAGTCATTATTGGTTCGTTTAGGAAAGAAAATTCAACCTGTCCTCGTGGTCTTCATCAGCCACAGTGTTATAACTGGGTTCCACTCCTGAACCTGTCCTTGTAAGGACACACTCAAGCATGTTGAAGATATGCAAACATGAGAAATTAGAAAAAATGCAGCAGATGAATTATGTGAGAGGTGAGGGAAAAGGCATGGACCCCGACTCAGACAAAGTCAATGTCCAAGGAAGATCTGACACCGTGCTGATTAACAGCTGTGTTCATTCCTCTGTCATTAGTTGTGGTTACATTACTGGTGCCAGTACAACTGTTTTCTTATTTTTAATCAACACACACACAGCCTTCTGGCCTTGTACCACACACACAGTCACTGTACAGACTCATGGTGTATGTGGTTCTCGGGAAACCTCCTCTTTCTTCAGGAACCCCCTGAAGATAAGGTCCTGACCCCAACCCATTTTCTGCAGTGGAATTTCAGGTCTTGTCTTGGTAGTGGGATGTGTGCCATGATAGATTTTTTTTTTTATTCCTTCAAATGTTTTAAACATAATAGGAACAAAGAGGAAAGACCTAAAAGAGGCTAACAGCGCTACCTACAGTATATGTGATGTAAAGTGTCACCGTGTCTTCTGGATGTGCTGCGGCAGCCGTTATGTCACAGCTCAAGGCAAAAAAAATTACCCTGGCTCTTTGGAGGCCTCCTTCACTTCCCTTGACAGCTTCTCAAAACGAGGACAACTGGTTAAGAAGGTCACTGAGTGCTGTATTTTAAGAAAGCGTGTGTGCGTATCTGTGTGTGTGTGTGTGTGTGTATGGAAGTTTGTTGACAGATCAAGGGTCTTTAGAGATTATCGGTTTTAAAAAATTGGCCGGTTAACAGTTAGGGCTGGTTGGTGTCAAACTAGACCACACACACACACACACACACACACACACACACACACACACACACACGAAATGTTTGCTTTGGTAAGTACTGCTTTCTCAGTACTGCCACAGGCACACACTCTGTTTTGGCCAAAGTCAGACTTAGGTAGAACTTGAGTTTGTTTTTTATATGTATATATTATCAATATATTTGTTCATATGTATGTTTCTGATGGGGGGGGGGGGCATTTAACTAATTAATAGTATATTTCTGGGGGGCTGGAACAAATTAATTGGTTTTTAGTTATTTTTAATGGAGAAAATGCAATCGAGATATGAGTGAATTGACACAAAAGTGCTTATTTTGGGGACATAAACTTGATCACTGTTGGATGGCTGTCTTTTGAGAATAGCCTGCTGCCACTTTTGCCCTTCTGCCCCCTCGCTCTCACCTCCTTCACATGTGCCAGGGCTTTGCCAGATGGGAGGAAGATGACAGCTTTAATCAGAGGGTGTTTGGGCCTCAGCAGGCAGAATATAGGCAAGCTGCCTGAACACACACACACACACACACACACAGCGTGTAGACGGTCCCACCCCTAAGTAGGTCATGTGCTGTGTCGAGTGGAGAGAGATGCAGAGATATAGAGAGAGGATCTGTGGTGGCTGTTTAACCATCTGGTTGTGATGTGCTGGACGACCCACAGCCAGAGTGAAGGAAAGACAAGTGAGACAGAAAGAACAAATTTTGAAACAGAGTTTCACTGTAGGTGACCTTGTCCTGTGAGGGTCAACTTTGTCTTCACTCAGAACTCCAGGTCAAGAGCTCCTTCGTTAACAGACAGCAATCAGTGAGGACGGATGAGTGACTGACAAAGTCAATCAGAGCATTTTCACTTGACCACACAAACATTAAAAGAGAGACATTTTGTAGAAAAAAAAAATCAAGGCTCGTCTCCCAGACATATTTAATCACTTTTTTAAATTTCTGTGCATTGACAGCACTGAGATAATTGTTTTGAGTGTAGAGTCAATAATATCGAGCTGTATAATCACACGTGTGCAGTGCACTGCGACATGCCATGTGTGTCGAGGTTGTTAGTTCATCAGCTATGCTTCTTTGATTGACAGGTATTTTCGAATTGTCTTAAGGCCGACATGACTGCACTGAGCTGTGAGACTGTGACTCCGTTCGTCTTAGCGGCTTTTCCTTTAATTACTGCTCTCCCATGGGAGCCTGTCTGGTCGTTAAACAGAAATCAGCATTACAGCAATTATTGCACACAAGGACATGAATACAATCTTGTCATCTGTAATCATTGGGGGCATGCATGCCTGGGGAGAAAACACTTTCTCACGGAGTTTCTCACTAAGGGACGGGGGAGTGTGTGTGGTACATGAATGTAGAGCAGGGGTCAGGGTCTATCTCAGCAGGGTGCAGGATGTCAAGGTTTCTGTTTTATATATATCACACTGTTTTAGATCAAGGTTGTTTTATCGATGTAATCTATTATCCCAACCTTTTTTTGAACCATGGAGCATTGTTAACATTTAAATTATAGCCTTTTCCTACAGTAAGTTTATAAAGCAATGAGCATTTTTTTCCTTTGCTGCACAATGGTCCACAACTACCTTAACTTAAAAACATGCTATTTCGGCCTAAGATTTAGGTCTGTTAGGCTCTGGAATGGGTTCTGCTCATTTTAGCATGCTGGCATCTTTTAGCATGTTTTTATATGTAAAAGAATATTTTAGTCATTTTCTTATATCTATTTAGGAAACAATTTGAAATGTTCTTTTCAGATTCCACTAATACCTTTGTGAGTAAAAATCCAGCTGAAAGTACAGGAACAGTACTCTTCATTTTTCTTGCCCTGAATACGCACTTTGTTACTTGTTAACAGAGCAGACGCTGTCTGTCTGCAGAAGCACAGTTAGATAATGTTTTTATAACCCATCAGGGCTACACTAGATGCTAACCAACGGGATTTCCAACATAGATTGAGATCAGGGTTGATCAAAGCATAACATTTACTGTGAATGGCATTAAATCTTATACAGCACATCCTGATTCATCTGCACAAGAATGTTGTATTTATTTAATATTAATACTGTAGTGTTATTTATAGTCTTTTTAGAATGCTCTTTTAATGTATGGCATGTTAAAGGTAACAAGTGCAAAAAAAAAAACACACTCTATAAGGTCAAACATATTAGCATTGTGCTAGCTTCAACAGCCTAGCTGGACATTTTTAGCTTGGATTTTTTGTAATGCAGATTTCATTGCAATTGTATTTATTTTTATATATTTTACAAGGGTGTATTTCTGTTGCATTTTGATCCAGATGGCTATGGTTTTGAATTTGATCAAATGTAAAAAGTCTCACTTTGTCATTCTCTCTCCGCAGCTGCAGAGCGACTTGGACCAGGAATACCAAGACAAATTCCGCCGGCTACCTGTGGAGATACAAGAATTTGTTCAGGACAGCAGCAAGGCCAAGCTTAGCGAAGACAGCGCCCACACGAACCTCGTTTCCTCCTCCACGACTGAGAAGCTGAACCTGAAGACGTCGCAGTCAGAGGACGAAACGGACGAAGGGTCGTCGGAGCGAGTGTACGACACTCCACTGTAGAGATATGACCTGCTGACTTTGCTTCACACTGGGACACTTACTGGTGGATATGTTAATGAGGACAGACCGGTTAGACTGTCACAACTCTGAACCCAATTTTAACAAGCCCAAGGATGGGATCAACCCTGAGCCTGCTGTGGTGAGTAGAGGACCTCTCTACGTGGAGTGCAGTCATGTCCACAAATCTGTGCATTCTGTGTATTTGTATGTTGACTGTATTCTCTTGTCTTTTACGGTACGGCCACAGGATGTGTTACACGGCATTAACCTGCAGAAAAGAATTTACTTGAACTATTGCACAGAGAAAGTTGTTGGTGTTTTTTTTTTAATATTATTATTATAATTTTTAGTAACCATGATATTGACAGTAGATATGGTCACTAAGCTGTGTGGTGCCAAGGTTTTTGAACTGACTTACTGTGGTCATTGACATTTGAGTGGTGTCCACTTGCATTGTAAAGACAACGCTGCAGATTTAGCCTCCGATGCTTCCGTCTTTTTAGAGTCACACTGTGTAAAACGTACTTTATCCCAGAAGCACCGGTGGCTCACTGGTTCTTGATTTTGTTCTTACAGAACTAAGCCTAGTTGTGTTGCTGCTATTTTTATTTTAACTCAGTTTTAACCATTCTTTGGTTTGTACATTTGGCATGAAAAACATTATGCAGTGCTGTTTTGGTGTGTGTGTGTGTTTTAATAGATTTATTTTGTTCGTGCCAAGCTGTGGCCAGAACGAACAAGAAGGGAAGTGTGTTGTACAGTATCTGCATGTTTTCGATGAACTGTTACAGTAGTTCCGTGGCGGAGATGTTTATGACGTGTGTGAATCCGTTCTGTCTGAAACACCTGAACTAAACCTGCAAAACATTAAACCTGTGGATCCATGCATCACTGTGGCACAAAGTGAAAGGGACAGAAATGAAAATCGCCCGGCTTTCGCTAACAGTGAGACTGTTGTGTTCTTACCGTTTCCTACTTGAACAAAGACTGTATAAGCAGAGAGAAAGGAACAGGAAATAGAAGGAAAGGGATGTTGCTGTACTTTTAAGAGAGGTGTTCTTCATCTTTGTAGGTCCACTGTGTACCTACAGGTAAATGCAGTTGTGCGTAGTTTCCTGTGTAGCAAGATGTTCAGTTTTTACACAGTCATAAGTTATAGTAGTGGGGAAATTAATTGGTTATTTTTTGAATCTCAGTTGCCATTACTGTACAATTTCATGAGTAACTGAGCTTCTTCCCCGTGAAAGGTCAACTTTCTTTTTTCGAACTACCCACTGCCATGCAAATGACTCTTTATGTTACGAATCAAATCATATATCTTTAAAGAACAGTGAATGTGAATGTGAAGGATGGATGACCTGGCATGTAAGCTGGAGATGTTGTCGAAGAGATGACGTTGGTGTGAGAGTCATGTGCCTTGAGTAAGTCGGCCTTGTTTGATGTTGAATGTGTGAAATGCTACACTGTTTAAATTACTGCTACTGTATGATGCTGTCTGATATTTCCAGTAGGCCGTGTGCACTTTTTAGTACAGTAACACTACTGAGTAAATGCTTGTGATGAGCGGTGTTTTCGACATGTGTCTCAGAAGGAATGCGAGACGTCCTTCTACTTTGTCTTGAACCACTTTATTTAACAGCCCGCTGCCCTTCTCATCCACCTAAGTGTATGCACTCTTGAAATGTACATGTATGTATGACATTAAGGATTCAATATGAAGTCGATGAAAAAATATATAGTGTAAAGGGAGTTTGCCTGTAAGTATAATAAATGTGGATATTATTGTACTTTGACTGAAGTTGTTTGTTCTTTTTCCATAATTAAATGCAGTCTTTTTTGTGAAAGTACCCTAGTATATTTATATACTCTGATAATCCACTGGGTTAACAATGAGGCAAAGACTCAGTATTAGCACAGCCTGTATCAGCCAATATTAGCATTATGAGCACTGGTAGGTGAAGTAAACAACACTCATCAATCTTTATATCTCAGCATCTGCTGGATGCTTGGACAGACTGGGTTTCAACTGAACATTTTGTCAACAAAGTTGTTGTGTTAGAAGCAGAAAATATTAGCAAGTATAACAAGGATCAAACTGCCAGAGGACTGGGTCAAAAAATACAACAACTTAAATAACTAGCAGTAATTCCAACCATTTCTGTCCCTAAAAATTCTGGTCATCAGACAAATATAGTTGGTGACCCCTAGATATTTAAACAACAGTCCAAACCTAGCACGAGAGTGTGTGCATCTGTTCTGCTCTGCCAGCTATTACAGTACTACAGAAATATATATTAAAAAGCATAAGCACTTGCTGTTGAAATAGTTGAATGTTTTTACATTAGTTTGGTTCATATTTATATTAGATTATATTTAGAATCACCACTTTCACAGCAGTGGTCCATGTACACACAATGATGAGCTATTGGCTCCCAAAATCCTCTAGTGATAAACAGGATTCTGACCATCCACCCACTTAGCAAAAACGTATTAGAGAAGTAGCACAGTCAGCTCTGTCTGCTTCTCTGCCTGTTGCTCCAGGGTTAATTAGTTTCATCACATACACGTGTCCTTTAACCAGTCTCACTCGTCTCACCTGGGCTTATACAGCATATGTATGTGCTGTATATATAGTAACTCTTTATCCAGTGTTTATGGACAGTAGGTAAACGTGTGACTTGACAGAGGAAGTGAAGACGTCCTGATCGAATCAGTTCACACAGAAGCATTCCAACAGAGAACCCTGACGTCCTGATTGAATCAGTTCACACAGAAGCATTCCAACGAAAGAGCGCTGTTGATGTGTGACTATTTCCATCACAATTGAGGTGAGGAGCATGGACAATATAATAAACACATTGTGTTCTCACCTAATTGTGCAGTGATTGTGTTTCAGGATAAAACTCATTTCACATCACATGGCACCAGACTTTAAAGTGGATTGTGTTTTGGTCTCCCCGAGAGTCTCTCCTGTCATGGTAAAATCAGAAATTGCTTTCGTTTGTATCACAAAAATGACAACAGGTTTAACTCTTTTTTTAATTATTTATTTTTTTAAGCTAGTTAAATCCTGTGAGTGTGCTGTCAGTACCTAAATGTGGTGCTGTCTGTGTTTTTGTGATTGGAATTTTAAGCGTTTGTGCCTACGTGCGTTTTCCAGTACTTATAAACACTTGTGTCCCAACAGGCAACAGGAGATAAGGCAAGCCTGGTCGCTCATAACAACCACTGTGACCATTCAGAGGCCTCGGTGCATACCAGCAACAAGGAAGTGAGCTAATTAACCCGGAGTTCAGCATGGAAGGAGAGTGGCTTTTTAATAAGATTCTCTGGCTTATATAAACAGCGATGGCCCTCCACACTCCCAGGAATATCATCGCCCGGCGTCTGTCCATCTGCTGCAGGGATGAGGAGGAGGAGGAGGAGGTGTCCTGTAACTAGGCTGTAATGAGGCACACCAGGACACCAGAGGAAGATAGGGAGGAGGAGGAGGAGCAGCCTGGAAGGTACATTTAACACACACACACAGACAAATACTTGGATATATGTAATATTCTTACATTTTTCTTTTAGACAAATCTGGGTTATTTTTCCGCTGCATAATCACGATAAACAATATGTCAGTGCTCTTCATGTGGCCAGCCTGTGGCCTTCAGCTCTGGAAAACAAGCTGCAGTCAATAGTAGCTATGCTGGCTTCACAGTACTGTATATAGTAGTCTGTATGGATTATTATATAACAGAAACTCACTTTTCAATAGAACATAATGGTTGATTTGTACATGGTAATGCTGTTAAGAGGAAAACCGACACAATCTGGTATGGGGCATGTGAGGTGTCTCTTAGTTAGCCTTAATCATTCCTATACTGTGATGAAAACAAAGTTGACAAGCTCTTCTTGAAAATGGTGACGTGGTTAGTGCTCTTGTCTTACCAACAAGAAGGTTACAGGTTCGATCCCTGATGTTCTTTCTGCATGGAGTTTGCATGTTCGTCTCTGTGTACTGTATGTGGGTTTTCCCCAGATGCTCTGATTTCCTCCCTCTGACCAAAAATATTCAACATGGAGCTCCAGTGTCACTATTTGAACCGGTGATTTTCCCTCAAGCATTACCCTGCTGTACTGACACAGTTTAGAATATGTGCTTCATGCGTGTGACTGTTAAAAACTCTGCCATCACTCTTACTGGCCCTTTTGTCCTGGATACCATTGGCTGGACATCTGGTAGCTTCTAAAGAGCCGACAAAAACAGCACGTTAAAAATATAATGTATTGCATTGCCTTAATTGCTTTTTTTTATACATATGTTTAACAACAAAAAGTCACTTGAGTTTAATTGCTTTTTTTTATACATACTGTATGTTTAACAACAAAAAGTCACTTGAGTTCACATGGTTTTGAAAACAGTATTTTTTTTTACCTTTGCTGTTTTCCAATATATTTGAATCAAAGCCAAAAACTGAGTATATCCCTTGCTCTGCTCTTCTCTGTGTTATTAGGTCTTGTTTATATCCCTCAAATCCCCCAGGCAGTACAGTGCGTAATGGGAAATTGTTGGAAAAAGGCCATTGAAATTCTAATAGTTTTCCACTTTTTCTTCATTATTTAGAGCAGAAGATACATTTCATTCAAGTCCATCTCCCCTAAGACCTGCTATTATTATTTGATGCTGACAGCATTTTAATATTTGAAGCTGAATCTCTTTCAGAAAACAGTAAAATTCCAGCGCAAAGACAAAAAGACTGAAGGCTCTGTACCCCATAAGTGGTGAGCTGGAGGAATTACTGAGGAAACAGATCTGAATGAGTTTTATTTGAAGTTGAACTAAGTCTGAAAGTTATCTTACTTTTTGTTCTTTGCAAATTCTTCAAAGAACATACCTTATCGGCAGCTGTCATAACTGATGTTGCGTGAATAGTACAAGCTCTCATCCATCAGGACTCTAGAGTCAGTGATCTGGTCTAATAAAAAGACATAATTTGACAGAGATACAGTAAGGGCTTCTTCTACCGCACTGAGAGCAGCTCTTTCTTGAAGCCATCTATTACATTCGACTGCAATACAGGTCGAAACCACAGTCATCGATTGAGAGGAATGACCGTCTAACACGACTCTATTACAGTAACTGAGTTAAGTGTAAGAAATGCTACTTAAAGGTGTTTAAAATCATGATCTAATGCTAATATTGTTTTGTTTTGGTGTGATACTGGCTGTGTTGTTAATAGTGAATTTAAGAAAAAGAGAAACAACATCCTGTTGAAGATGTGAGATGTGAAGAGTGTCACAGCATGAACCTGATTGGCTCACTTTTGCAAATTATTAAGATTGAAATATAATTTATATCATTGTTTACATGCAGCTGGCTCTGGGCTTTCATTGAGTACTGTAATGTCAGAGTCTTGAGGCAGCCTTGATTGGCAGTTGCTGTGACACATGCACTAGTAAGAGGGTGGATCATGGAGAAATGAGCTTAAAATTAAATAAGAAAGCTAACTCTGTTTTGTACATTTACAGTTGGTTAGCACTGAACTGAACACTGAAGTTTATTTTTTGTTTACTTTTTTTGGACAGTAGTCGTTCGCTACAAACAACAGGGCCCAGATGCTCCTGAAACTCTATAGCATTCAAAACATATTAGGAACTTTCAACCACGAGCCAATACACAACAGTGGACCTGGCATGTAAACAGAGGACGTCTGGTTCAAATCCCAGCCGTGGCAGGGCTGTGGTGTGTGGCGCAGGTGCCAAAATGGATGGGTTTTAATGTGGAGGACTTTGTCCTTTCTTTGAGAATTCCTCTGAGTGTGTATTCTGTTCATACTGATAATGTTAAGTGTCACTTATTGATTGACAACAGGTAGCTGTGGGTTAGTAGATACTGTGGTTGTTGAAATGCGTACTGCACAGTTGTCGGGATAGATTCCAGACTTGCCAATGGTCATGATGATGAGACGTGTGCAGTGAAAGTACAGACATTTTGATAACACCCCAGGCAGCCACTGAAAGAAGTGTGAAGATTCCAGACTCAGCTGTGTTCATTGTCACTGAGAGTTAGACAGCAGCAGCAGCAGCAGCAGCAGCAGCAGCAGCAGCATTTAAACTGTGACTTTACAAAAGGGAGGAGGAGGCGGCTACAGTAGTCAGCTGTTAGAGGAGCAGGGAGGAGCTGCTTCTGCTGCGGATGACTCACTATCAAGGTTCACTCATTCACTCGTTTGCACACACGTGCACGCGCACGGACAGACTGGCACGTTTGGTTTGGTGGGTGGGTTTGGGGGAGGGAGGAGGAGGAGATAGAGGAAGGAGGAGGAGGGCGCTGCAGAGCTCCTGCTCCTGCTGCTGAGTGAGGTTCCCAATCAAAGCGCATCAGGGCCGCTCAGTCTCCACTGGAGGGCGAGTGGCACAAGAGCACCGGGACACTCCAGCAGCAGCAGGGACACAGAGCAGACAGACGGACAGGAGGAGGGAGACGGGACAGACTCAGCTGCAGCAGCTGGAAGGCAGGGACACGTTAAGGTCCAGACTCTGGACTCTGCAAAGCATCATTTTTACTGCCATCCGCCGGATTTACTCCTTCATCCAGCTGTAACATCACGTAAGGAACACACACACACACACACACGCGTATTGTACTAGTAGCGGATGATGTGGCGACAAGACCATGTATCTGCACTCCATCACGCTC